GAAGCATGCAGAGTGAAGATACAGTTCACAATGTGATATTCCCTTGCCCTTTCGAGTGCTAAACATTCAACCACAGCAGAAAGGATATCTGTTATTTACAAATGTCAACACTAAAAGCACCATCACAAATATTGCCAAATAGTGTTTTTGAAAAAACAAAACAAAAACAGAGCCTTGCTTTCCAAAGGAAAGGCTGAATGAATTTGGATTACAATCCCTCCAATGGAAGTTCGAGGATGCTATGGGGATGAATGTATTGTTACCCTGCCTTTTCTGTGAATGACTCCTGTGGTCAAGGGCAAGCTTTTTATATACCGTATACATCAAAGCACTTATCAAATATAAGCCTGGTGATATCTAACATTCAATTTAAGTACTACCCACTAGCAAGAAAGAGTATTCTACGTAAGAGAGAACGTGCTGGAGACATATTCATACTGGGCTGGCACTGGCAGGCGAGCTTTGTTAGGACTATGACAGGAAGGCATTAACTTCTCCTGTTATCTGTTCCACTGTCTTCATGAGAAGTGCAAGCCAAAGGAGTTCGTGTAGCTGAAAATATGTTTCATCCACCTTTTCCGAAATAGGCTTTGGAAAAGATTATGGAACCCAAGGAATATTTCTCATGCATTTTTTTCATGATTTTTTTTATTAATGAAACATACAGTACAGAATGTACAATACAAAAAACGAGCTGAGCAAAACTGAAACTGTGCAGGAATAATTAAATTACCCCAGCAAAAATAAAACTTTAAGTACTGCCCTGTTCATGGGATAATAGTAGAGCTTTCACAACTGACCTGGGTTACCTGTTAAACCTATGGGAAACAAAGAACGTATTTTGCATGCCCTTCTACTTGTACTATCTAGAGCAGTGCTCACAGACATGGCACCTTCTAGTACACAAAAACCAAATATGTCTTCTCTGGCACCCAGAGGGTCCTCTTCTCAGCTGAAATGAGGCTTGAAAGATACATTCTACTATAGTGAGTAGAAAAGGTGTGCTTGGCTGCGGTGGTGGTGGTGGAGGTTTATATGTCTGTCTGTCTGTCTGTCTGTCTGTGTGTGTGTGTATGTGTGCGCGCGCGTGGTGCCCACAATTTCTCTGGATAGCTAATTGACCCATAGGTCCAAAAAGGCCAATCCAGAGGATTGGTGCAGGTTTGCATGGATACCCTTTGGCTAGCAAAGAGTGGATGAGCTGACCCAGCTTATCAGAACACCCCTATCTCCTAACATGCCCTAACATGCCCACATGCCGTCCGTCATTTTGTACTACATAATTCTATTTATGAAGAAACTTTGCTGAAATTTCTGGGAAATTTGGGGAAGGGTCATAGCTCAATAGGAGAGTACCTGCCTTGCGAGCAGAAAGTCCCAGATTCAATCTCTTAACATCTCTAGGTAGGCTGGGAATAAAAGGTTAAAGGACCCTTGGACAGTTAAGTTCAGTCAAAGGTGACTATGGGGTTGCAGCGCTCAGTTTGCTTCAGGCCGAGGGAGCCAGCGTTTGTCCACAGACAGCTTTCCGGGTCATGTGGCCAGCATGACTAAACTGCTTCTGGCACAACGGAACACCATGACAGAAACCAAAGCACACGGAAATGCCGTTTACCTTCCTGCCACAGTGGTACCTATTTATCTACTCACACTAGTATGCTTTCGAACTGCTAGGTTGGCAGAAGCTGGGACAGAGCAATGGGAGCTCACCCTGTCGTGCAGATTTGAACCGCTGACCTTCCTATCGGCAAGCCCAAGGGGCTCAGTGGTTTAGGCCACAGGGCTGGGAATACCGCCAGCCTGGTCAGCTGCTTCCAGTCAGTGTAGGGAATACTGAGCTTGATGGAGTTGGGATCTAACTCAGTATAAAGTAGCATTCTATGTTCCTAAATAAACTGAAGTTGTGCAGAAGTTGTGGTTTTATGCAAGATACCTTCCCAGCTGCTAATGCCTTGTTTTTGAAGACCACTTTTCTTTGAAAACCATTTAAACAATACAAAAACCATTGTCTCTGCTTCCTCTTCTGGCCAGACATAAAACTGCTCACCTCTTTTGAGTGTTTACTCTTGTCTCCCCTTGACATCTGTCCTCTGGAGAGCATAGCTACAGCCATCCCAGCACTCAAAGTGTACTTCCTGCTTTGCTTGGCAGAGGAACTAAACAAAATTAATGGAAATCGCGTACTAAACAAGAAATATTTTCAGTTCATGCATCAAGAGGCAGCAGTTATGTAATGGAGAACAAAGGGTATGCAGATAAGGAGCATTAAGAACTAGTTCCCTGCCCTAACTTCCCTCTGTGGGTAATGTGTTGCTGAGCTGGCTACCTCTCGTTTCCCTCACCTGGTCCCTTCCACATAACATTTGCCAAGAACTCATGCTGCCATTTAAATCAAGATTGGCCAAGGAAGTCATATGAGAAAAACACATTTGTGTATTCCTGTAAAATATGCAATATGATGGGTTAGCGGGTATTCAAGACTGGTTTTGACACTACAGGTATTTTATTTTTCATCCAAGAGCCAAAACCTTAAAATTGGAATGTAAAATATGTCACATGAAACCTTACAGCTTATAGAGTCTAGGCAGCTGTTTGACCACTTCATATCTTCTGGCTTGAAAATCATCAAAATATATTTTTGGCTCCTTCCCTTAATATATAGGAGTCCTCAATCTATGTTTTTAAAACTTCAACCAGGTTGTAATAAAAAGAAAAGCAGACTAGATATTTTTCCAGGAGAGTTGTGTGAATTAGGAACATAGGACGCTGCCTTATACTGAGCCAGACCATTGTTCAATTTAGCTCAGTATTGTCTACACTGACTGGCAGAGGCTCTCCAGGATTTCAGTCAGGGCTCTCTCTCTCTCAGCCTTACCTGGAGATGCTAGGGATTGAACCCGGGACTTTCGATGCTCTACCCACCCTTATCTCCATGTGCCTTATGTGCATGTTCTCATTTCTCTAGCTCCAGCACATAATGGGAGCTGGCAGTCTCAGAGTCCCATCAAACAAGTGACACACCTGTTGAGAGTTCAAACTAAGCAGTGGGGGGAGGTTCTGACAATTGTTTGAAAAGCAATAGGCAAAGTCACTCCTGAGCATCTTCTGCAACATTTTTTAAACTGTGCTGTTTTCTACTCCTGGGTCCGCCAAGAGCCACTAGATTCTGCAGCTGAATTGGCCCTCTCTGGACTCCACCTCCAGACCCTAGCCAGTACCAGAATCCATTAATTTCAGGAGTCTGCAACTCTAGTTGCAATTCACAAGCTGTACACTCTCCTTCCTGAGCAATAGGCTGCAGTCTCAAGCGCACTTAGTATGGAAGATGCTCCACTGAATACAGCAGGGCTTACTTCTGATGCTGCTTAACACCATATATTTAAAGAAGATTCAAACCACATTTAACCCCTCAAATAATTCTGAGCACTGTAGTTTAAGGGTGCCGGGAACTGCAACTCTTCTTACAATTCTACAGTTCCCAGGGTTCGTGCAGGGCGCACTTTGAATGTGCTTTAAAGTTATGTATATGCAGCCTGAGTAAACATGCGCAAACCTCTATGCACATGTCAAACCCAGTGGGGCATTTTTGAGTGACGTGTTTAGGCACAAGCCAATAACAGGGATTTCTGAACAGCTGACCCTAGCGGCAGGGCTGGCTCAAGACATTTTGTTGCCTGAGGCAAAGAACAAGGCAGCACCTCTATTAGACAGAGGGCCAATTGGAATGGCAGTTGAACCTTATTGATGGAGGATGAGGCCAAAAGCTTAGCTAGTCCCTGTAGTGTAGGGGTGGGGGTGGCGAGCCGACCCGGGCGCGGGGGGGCTGTAGGTCGGCATGGTGGCTGCTGGGCATTGGGGGCTGGACTGCTGGGCAGCAGAGGAGATGCAGAGTGGCATGGCAGTTGCTGGGTGTCTCGACCACTGCAGGTGGGTGGATCCACTGCCCGTCCCTCAAAACACCAGCTACGTAAGTTTTGGCTGTTTATCCTAATACTGTAAAGCTCAACAATTGTGGCAGCTCCCCTAAAAAAACAACCTCATGTTGTACTCACAGTGGCCAATCATATGCTTATAGGAAGCCCACAAACATGTTTCCCAATACAGTACTTACAATGGGCTAGTGTTGTCCACCAATGAGGTCAGCAGAGGGCACTGGAGAGGCCACCCCTGATGCCTTGCCAGCACCTGCTCTTGAGGCAGTTGCTCCACTCTGCCTAATGATAGGGCGGGCAAATTCTATGCAGAGGGGCCAAATTCTGCCTGGAGAAAGCACTTGCGCATCCCACGCAGTTGCAACATGTTTTCTGGCAACTCCGAAGGCGTTTTCTTACAGGGGACTCTTCCAAGGATTGCTATTTCAATTATTTCTTTATTAAGGCAGTCGCGTTGGGCAAAAGTTTCCTGCATTTGCAGGGGGTTGGACTAGATGACCCTCGTGACCCCTTCCAACTTTACAGTTTTATGATTATAATACTTGGGACCGGCAGCAACAACGTCCTGATTTGAAAACAAAGGCACAGCTCGCTTCTTATCGCTGCACGCGCGTATTTATTTCACTACAACAAAAGCTTATGAACTCCTCCCTCGCGGCTTCTCCTGCCTATACCGTTAGCTGGGCGGGACTCTCTCAAAGGGAGCCCTACAGCCCTATCCCCTGCGCGCGTCGCCTTTCCTCGGAAATAAACCCGATTTAAGTCCAACGGGACTCCTCTCTAGCCTTAAGGGAAGAACTCCGCCCTGATTTTGAAAAGGCGGAGGAAGCGAAGACTTTTGGCCGGGTCGGGGCACCGTAGCTGCGACGCGAAGCTGCAGCGCGCTGATTGGCGGAGCGAGCAGCCCATCATCTTTCTTTTACGTTCTGGAAAAACCGCCCGAGCTAGTTAAGTAACGCGAAGAAGCGCGGGTGAGTGACTAAGGGCGGGCAAGCGTGGAACTCCAGGGCAGCGGCGGCGCGAGGGGTGGCGGTTGGTGGAGGGGGGGTGGAGGGAGGCCGCGCGCGCGCTGCTGTGGCGGAACATTCGAGGCCGCGGCCTCCCTCAGGGCCTGCGCGGCGGGGCCGCTCCCTTCGCAAGCCGCGGCCGTCGAGGGTGTCGCTTTCTTCCTCAGCGCCTCCCAGCCGCCCTGTTAACGAGGGTGCCCTGGACGCTGGTTTCCTAGACCCTGCCGGCTTGGGAGTCAAGTGACACCCCCCCCCAAAAAAAGCAGGAGACTGCGGCCCTGGCCGTCGCATTGTGTGGGCTTCGGCTCCTCAGCCTTTTGCTGGGTGCCTGCGATGCTCGCCCGAGCAGCCTCCCTTAACGGTATACGACCCCACAGAAGGACTGGCAGTAGAGAGGGTTCAAATTCGCGCAAACGTTTATTAATTCATCTGCAGTTCTGAATTCCACCTTCTCCCTCCCCGAGTTCACGTTATCCTCACAATAAACCTGCGAGGCAGGTGGGGCTGGCCCGGTGTTACCTGGCGGTTCTTTAATAATTGGGCAGTAATTTGAACCTGACCCACCCACAGCCACCCACTTCCTATACGTCCCTTTGATCACTACTGTACAGCACACGGGAACACACCTACTGTCACAGTGGCCTTTACAGGAGCACATGCGGGTAATAACAAAATAACCGCCAAGCGCAAACTTCTTACATCTGTGTAAAATAGGATTACACTTGAAAGCGACATTTATTTTTTTAATCCTGCCCTTCACAAGGATTGCAAATAACGCAAATGGCGATAGGTCTAGCAGCCTAGGTCTCTGTTAGGTGCTTTCAGGAAATGTTTCCTGGAAAGCTTCCTCTGGTGCTGTTCTATGTGTGCACCCACCTTGATTTTATTACATTTTATTAAATTTATTACCCACCCTTCACCAGCAGGACTCCAGGAGGAGTCCCAGAAAATAGTTCTGGGAGTGCTAAACGTTAAGTTTCAAGGCTTCTTGACTCATTTTCGTTAAGCAGCTCTTCTAGTCTCTGCTTGTGAATTTTATAATCCAAATGTCTGATTGGTCTATGCCCAACATTTTGATGGAAAATTGTGGACACTTAAGTATGCCCTATTTTTTTCCTAGGGTACATGTACACAGTACATAATGTCATCATATGTCCAAGGTTGCCAGGGCTGCTGCAGAGAAGCATATTATAATGATAGTACCTCGAGCTGTCTTGGAAATAATTGGGTCATCTGGAGCTATTATGAATGAATGGGCCTAACCTGTGTTTGTTTGCATGCAGAAACCTTGTGCATCATGTCCACTTATAGGTTTTCATTTCTAGGTTATCTGTGACTGTCATCATCTTGTTGCTGGTGAATGATGGTGAAAATAGAAAAGGAAAATAAGAATAAATAAAACTACTTTTTAAAAATCAAGAACACCATATTAGAGGCAATAAATGAGGAAAATATTTTGATAAATCCTTTGCTCATGTTCTTGGGGCAGCAGCCCTAATCTGTTACAGCATAAATCCCAGTTAGGTCAGTTGTGTTGTGTAGGCTTCTAGTATGTTACATCTGGGCTGCTATGGATATTGTGAAATGGGCATAAGTTGACTTGATTTAGCAAAAAGCGCAGAGTTCAGGATATTCAAAAGAAAAGCAGATTTAGAGACTTTAAATAGATCATATTTATTGTGATATTTGAGGAAATGCTGCCAACACCAACTTGTGCTTCTAGGAAACATGTATCCAGTTGCAAAAACAATAATTTACTAAATGGATCTGAAGTTTTATATGGTTATTTACTCGTTTAACAAATTAGGCTTGTTATACGATTATATCAATGTACCTTTGGAGTGATTTCACTCATCAGTATGTTACTGCCTTCAAATAATGAAAATTCTGAATTAGCTGTACATGAGATGAGAGTGCCTGTGCTTGTGCTTCCTCAGTTAGCTATTTATTTATAAATCCATAGTCACCATGTTAAAAAAAGAATCTGAATTCCACAATACTGTGAAGTTCTTTTGTAGAAAAACTACAGAGACAGAATAAAGGCATGCCAGAGTACTTTGAATGTTTTCAAATGGTGGTGTGTTGTGAACAGATGTGTTAGATAAGCTTCTTATTAAGAATATCAAACTGTATGTAGTTGAGAGTAGTTTCATGCAATGGCTGTAGAATTGCAGTTTCAAAAGCCTCGCTTCAAAATTTTTTTGCTTTATCCTCTTGTTTGATATTTATTTCCCAGATGATCACTTTACAGAGCCAGCATCCTACCTCTGTTTGTTGAGCATTTGTTTGTGCTGTTTTGAGTTCTGCATTTCAACCATTTTCCTATTTGTTTCCTTTAGCCTCCCAGATCTGTCAAAATGAGTTTACGGAAACAAACTCCAAGTGATTTCTTGAAACAAATCATTGGAAGACCAGTTGTTGTAAAGTTGAATTCTGGAGTTGATTATCGAGGTAAGTTCTGTCAGTCTTGTGCGCCAGTCATCATTATATGTGATCTTTGAGTTGGGAAGAAAGGAAACAATATAATTTGGATTATGATCCTAGCCTGTTCCTGGAGAGTTCTTCACAGTCAAGCTCAGGCATTATGGGTTATATATACAAATGTAGGAGTAGTGAGATTAATTTAGTCCCCACATCTGGAATCTTTTTATCATCCTAGCCAAACTTTTTGGATTGAGAATTTGCTGTTTTGAACAGTAAGCCTGGCAACCCTAGCTGATTTTCTTAAATTCTAAGCCTACTTGGTGTTTCAAATGAGGATGAGGCTGTGATGACATTTCTAACCAATACTAGACCTTCTTTCTGAAGATGTTGAGTGTAAATTAAATGTTTAAATTCCCCAAGAACTCACTTCATTTAAAAGGATTCTATAGCTAAGAAGAAAGCTGATGGGGAACTTTGAGACTGTACATCTTTTCAGGAGTGAGGTTTTCATTGCACCACTACCATACTAGAGGTGATTCTAGGAAAGAGACCATTTAATGCTTGACAAACACAAGATGAAGGCTACAAGTTTGTAGGGTTTCCCCCTTTTTTACATTGAGAGAGAAAATACAGTTCTACTTATACAGTTTAATTAAAGGTATTCACAAATATTTTTTTGCCACATTTCCAATAACAGCCTTTTATAATAAAAAATAATAATTTATTATTTGTACCCTCCCATCTGGCTGGGTTCCCCCAGCCACTCTGGGCGGCCTCCAACAAAGATTAAAAACACATTAAAATGTCACACATTAAAAACCTCCCTTGATAAATATGATCTGAGACCTTGGTCTGCTTTTCTGATTTCCTTGAGATATGTCTAGCTTTCTAATACCTAGCCAAGGTTACTTTTCTAATACCTAGCCAAGGTTACCTTTTGCAGCTGGGACTTTTGTTTTAAGAGTATGTAGACAGTGGAACAGATTCTCCTGAGAGGTAGTGGGCTCTCCTTCCTTGGATGTTTTTAATCAGAGCTTTGATGGCCATCTGTCAAGTATGATCTAGTTGAGATTCCTGCATTGCAGTGGGTTGGACTAGATGACCCTTGGGTTTCCTTCCAACACTATAATTCTATACTTCTATGATCTCAACTTCAGTATCTTAGTTTTCATCATATTAACTTGAAAGTAAGACCCTTTAAAATCATTAGGACTTACTTGAAACTGGTAGAAACCTTGGTTTAAGAATACAGTCGTACCTTGGTTGTTGAACACCTTGGTACTCGGGACTTTTTGGCTCCCGAACGCCGCAAACCCGGAAGCGAGTGTTCCAATTTGTGAATGTTTCTCGGAAGCCAAACTTCTAACGCGGCTTCCGATTGGGTGCAGGAAGCTCCTGCCGCCAATCAGAAGCTGCGCCTTGGTTTTTGAATCGTTTCGGGAGTCGAATGGACTCCCAGAACAGATTAAGTTCGACAACCAAGGTACGACTGTAACAGAAATATGTTGGCAGGACATTAGTTTTAAAATATTCCACACAACATTATTTTTTTAAACCCCACAAAATCATTACATATTTAAGAATAAACTTGTAGCATTTTCCCCCTCAAGCCTTCCTCTGAATCTGAATCTTATTTGCACTCTAAGGTAATATTAAATAGCTATCTTTAATACTAAAGGTACCCCTTTAGTAAGCGTACCCCTGATAGTTAAGTCCAGTCGCGAACGATTCTGGGGTTGCGGCACTCATCTTGCTTTACTGGCCGAGGGAGCCGACGTTTGTCTGCAGACAGTTTTTCTGGGTCATGTGGCCAGCATGACTAAGCCACTTCTGGCGAAGCCAGAGCAGCGCACAGAAATGCCATTTACCTACCTGCCGGAGCGGTACCTATTATCTACTTGCACTGTGTGCTTTCAAACTGCTAGGTTGGCAGGAGCTGGGACCGAACAATGAGCTTACCCCGTCATGGGGCCTCGAACCACCAACCTTCTGATTGTCACGTCCAAGCAGTGTAGTGGTTTAAACCACAGCACCACCCGCATCCCATTTTTAATACTACACACTTTTAAAACAAAAGTTGCCTCTTAGATTATTATCTTTTTAGATAACTTCATAATTTAGATTAAATTTTCCCACATTGTATACCTAAAATGTTGTTATAGCTGTAGTATTCCAGTTTTCAGTGATAACATACATTTGGTCTTGTGTACATGGCTGCTTCCTTCTATTATTTGGATTTATTTGGTTTCTATACCACCCTTCATCCAAAGATCACAGGGTGGTTTGCAATATGAAAACATAAAATACATGCCATACCATACGAGTTAAACTTGATGTGCCTATGTCCGTTCAAATTCATGACAACTTACTGCAGAATGTTAAGATACAGTAAAGGTAAAGGTACCCCTGCCCATACGGGCCAGTCATGTCCGACTCTAGGGTTGTGCGCTCATCTCACTTAAGAGGCCGGGAGCCAGCGCTGTCCGCAGACACTTCTGGGTCACGTGGCCAGCGTGACGAAGCTGCTCTGGCGAGCCAGCACCAGCGCAGCACACGGAAACGCCATTTATCTTCCCGCTATAAAGCGGTACCTATTTATCTACTTGCACTTAAGGGTGCTTTCGAACTGCTAGGTGGGCAGGAGCTGGGATCGAAAGACGGGAGCTCACCCCGCCGCGGGGATTCGAACCGCCGACCATACAATCGGCAAGTCCTAGGCACTGAGGTTTTACCCACAGCGCCACCCGCGTCCCTAAGATACAGTAGTCTCAAGATAATCCATAAATGGAAGGATAACCTTTCCAGGCTCCAGAGAAGAAACTGTTGATCTTGTGGCAAAGGGTTCTGCTACAGTGATACTACATTTCATATGCTAAATTACAGATAGTGACTTACAGTGCAATCCTAACAACATCTACTTGGAATCAAGTCTTATTGAAGTCAATGGGGCTTACTCCTAGGAAATAGGGTAAGGATTGCAGTCTTAATCAGTTTCTAGGAAGACGTGGCAATTCTTTTTACCATAACAACCTATAGCTCTACACTTCTGCTTGCCTAGTCATTTTTTTGCAATAATGTACTGTACTTGTACTGAATTTTTAATACAGCATTTGATTTAAAAATGTAGCTCTGAAGTCTAAGCAGTTCTGTGGGTCTCATTGATTTTAGGTGTTCTGGCTTGCTTGGATGGGTACATGAATATAGCTCTGGAGCAGACAGAGGAGTATGTAAATGGACAACTAAAGAATAAATATGGGGATGCTTTCATCAGAGGAAACAATGGTAAGTATGCTTATCTAGAAGATACCTGGGTTTTGGTGTATTTATCCAAATTTTTTTGAGGGAAGATTTTTTTTTGAAAAATTAGGTAATGGCTGTTCGTGCACATACTTTTGATGGTGTATTAGATGTAGTAAGCAGGCATCCATAAATCTTTGGCTTCTGTGAAGCCTCATGCAGAATGACATGTTACAACACCTTCCTCTTGCCTCATGTTCTGGTACAAATGAGAGAATTTGAGGTATGATTAAATATTTCAACTCAAATGAGGCTTTGCAAAAAGGTAATAAGCGATCTGTGTTGCCCTCAAAGTCAAGAGTATGGAGCTCAGTGGTGGTTTGTTTTATTTTTACTTTACATTTTAGGAATTGTTCCTGGGATTGGAAAATAGATTTTTAGGCAGTGCTTCCCTTCAAACATTTCCCATTAGCTTTCTTGGTGGTTGCACCAGGTTTTACAGAGTTGGAAAAATAGGCTTTCTTGATCTTTGCAGTGATATAACTTCATTTATTTTAGTAGTGATGCTAGGATCAGGTAAATTAAGCCGGGGTTGGTGGGAATGCATGTATATAAATATTTAAAACAAAGAAACAAAGGACCCTGCAGTGTATGGACACTTGAAACTTTTGGAGCAGTCTAGCAGGTAGGAGCTTCTCTAGTATGATGGCTCAACTTAAGTTTAATGGGTGTGTCATACGCTGCACAAATCTAGTTATTTGCCCTTCTAATTTCAATGGGAGCATTAAGGATTTGCCCTCTTAGTTTCAATGGGAGAGTTGAGCACATGCATAAATAGCTTGCATTGTAATCAGTGGGTTTTAACAATGTTTAGTCCTGGCAGGATCATGCCTCTTTTAAGATTGAGTTAGTCTTACTACTAAGATTCTTCATTGTCTTACAAAGAAAAATATATTTAGAGCTATACTACAGGATTTGCTCCAAGGAATAATGAACAGAAGGAAGCTGCTATACTAGCACTGTTGGTGCAAATATTCAAAAAGTCAAATGATGCTAAAAGAAATCAGTTCTGTAGCAGGTTTCATACAAAAGGTTGCAGTAGCAAAACCTCTTTGGATTTATTTTACTTTTCTCGCAGCGTTATAGTACGAGATGTAAAACAGGCTTTCCATCAATGATCAGTATTTTTGGATCAAATCAGTATTTCTGGCAATAATATTAAGTTTATGGACTGTAGCTGTTATAATTATACCTATTATATATACACTATTATATATACAAGTACATTTATGCAAAACATCCTAATTATCTTTTCCTCCTTTTAAACAGTTTTGTATATAAGTACACAGAAGAGGAGAATGTGAGCATACCTGAAGATGGAACATTTTTGTATTGCAACTTTAGTTTCTTAACATTATTTTGTTTGTTACTGGCAATTCTTCAGTGAACAAGGTTATTTCATTCTGCTGTAAAAGTTACATGGCCTGTAAGTAAGGATGGTTGTTGTTTTTTATATGTAAAAACAAAATGGAATATTGCTGACAGAGTTTGGAATACATCTTGTGTTATAATTTGGAATGAAATAAACTTGGAAAAGAATATGATCTGTTTATGCTCTAAGCTAATTTTATACAACATCTGGTACTCACATGAACAGTGGTAAGTTAGAGAATAACACCATAGTGGAACCTAACACCATAGTGGAACCTAACACCACACTGGAACCTTTCTCGGACTGCTAAAGTGTGAAAGCCTGTTTTCAAAAGTTTGGATGGCTTGAAAGATATGGCAAACTGCATGCCCTGTTTTTAAAAAGCACAGCCTCTTTCTTTAACTCTAGTCACACGGTAAAATCTTCAGTTGCAGTCTGAAGTGAACCAACAAAAATCTTAAATAGTGGGTGTAATAGTGACAATTCAACAATAGGAACAGGATGGAAGAAAAATCCAGGGGTAGCATTGTGCCAGCTACAAGTAAGCACTGCAAGTGAGAAGCTTCTGTTTATGTGCCAGCCCTCCAAATCCTGGCAACCCTTTGCTCTCCTGATTGCTGTTAACTTTTTCTTCTTTCTCCCCCCTCAGCACACTGGGAGGCTCATAAATCTGTGTGGCTGCACAGAGTGCAGGATCTGACATGTAATATAAAATCCAGCAGCTTGAGCAGAATCCAAAGACTATTCTTTTTTTATTTTTAAAGCAGAGTCAGCCTTGAAACATGAAAGCTAAGAAACTAATAAAAAATAAATAAATTGGTAGGATGGGCTATAACAGAAATGGGGGGGCGGGGAGGTCTCTGCAGAGCTGCTGTGGTCAAAGTTCCACTGCATATTCCTCAACCATTCTTTAGGCCACACACACTTTCTTTCATACATTTGTGCCCCAAAATGTTCAACTAGATGCCTGACTTTTTAACCCGAGGAATGGGAGAATAGGGGGAAAGGAATTATAAACCTTGTGTTTTGCAATCTAACTTAAAACTCAGTTGCTGCAAACAAAATGTTTCCTTAGTCTGAAATAGCCATTGATGTGCGTACAAAGGAATCTTACTCCTGTTCAAAATATGTTTAGGATGTAATTCTATGTTCGGCTTATTGGTGAACAAGTCCCATTGAACTCAGCTGGGACCTACCTTAAAGGGGCATCTCTGAATAGGCATGTACAGGATTGCACTGCATGCAAAGCTAAACTAAAACAAGTCCCATAGTATAGAGTTGAGAATGTTTTGATAAAAAGTTATAAAACAACCCAGCATGGGGTGCCTTGTACATTATGCTGTTCTCTGAACAACTTAAAGCTGCCTTTTAAAATCAGCACATACCTTTGAGTTGTGCATGAATAAGCATTAACAATTGTGTGAATACAACATTGTTCCATCTCCTCAAATAACAGAAGACCTTTGGTACAAGGAGGAATAGCAACACTTGAAGGGAAGGAATTAATAATTGTTAACTTATTCACATTTCACATGGCTCTGTGCAGCATATAAAGAGAACACAATTTTATAGCATGTTTCAATAATTTATAACTCCTTGACAAGGGCTTGAGAAAGGACTGCCATGTAAATACAAATCACAGGCATGGTTTTCTATTAATGGCTTCTTTTTAAAATGGATGTTCCTTCAGGTTTACTATGTAATTTTTAACTTGTTTTGGAAAAAGGTTACAGGTGGCAAGGTCACTGGATCCCTTCATCTTCCAAAATGGTTGCTGGAAGTAGCTAAAGTATTTTGTTTCCAAACATCTAAAACAGTGTATTTATGGAATGTTTATTGTAAGTATATCCACTATTATATAATATCTTACCCACAGTTATTTAACCCTGTCACAACTCTAAAGAGCAGCTTTATTTAAGAGCCCTAATTCAAATATATGCATACACATGTGCTGCATTGCATGCATAGCCCAAGATAATAACTGGCCATCCCCTTGTGTCATTGCAATGTAAACAGAGCAGCATGACTGGGAGTCATTGCAATTGTGCTATGTCTGTATGTTCTTTATTATGTAGCTGTACATTAAATCATGGCTATCCAGGAAGGCAAAACGGCTTAGCGACAGGGATGAAGACTTAACTTAATTGCTTTTAAGGAGAAAAGTGATTGAAATAGACATTTGGCTGGGAGTAAGCACCATTGAACTACTTAGGGCTTAACATCTGAGTGTATAGGATCACACAGTTAATCCTACCTATATATTTGGCTGAACCTTCACTATTTGCCTTAGGGTCATTTACACAGTGAGCAACTCTTGGTGTGGATCAAGCCTGCAGGAAATGAAAAGAAAGTTGCTATCTTCTGTTGGGATCTTGAAAAGTCTAAAGCTAACTCAGTCTGTATTCTGCTGATTTGTAACAAGAATATTTAAGGCACAGTACTTTGGTGGCACTGTGGGTTAAACCACAGAGCCTAGGACTTGCCGATCACAAGGTTGGTGGTTCAAATCCCCGCGAAGGGGTGAGCTCCCGTTGCTCGGTCCCAGCTCCTGCCAACCTAGCAGTTCGAAAGCATGTCAAAGTGCAAGTAGATAAATAGGTACCGCTCCGGCGGGAAGGTAAATGGCGTCTCCGTGAGCTGCTCTGGTTCGCCAGAAGCAGCTTTGTCATCCTGGCCACATGACCCGGAATCTGTACGCCGGCTCCCTCGGCCAATAAAGCGAGATGAACGCCACAACCCCAGAGTCAGTCATGACTGGACCTAATGGTCAGGGGTCCCTTTACCTTTACCTTACTTTCCTATTATAAAGATGAAGCTTATTTGCCCAATATTAGTCTATGAAAAAAATTGTTTGATACCTTTTTTGATACTAAAACTGGAATTCTATACTCACCTGAGAGTTAAGTTCCACTGAGCTAAGGCTTCTGAGTGGACTCGCTGTAAGTTGCCCCTTATTTTCTGAAGTGTCTACTCAAGGCTAGTTGAGCATTATCATGTAGCAACTGCTTTAAAATGCCCAGACTGAGTCCAAACAAATTCCTCCCTTGGGTAGGAAAGTGCAACTGATAAATGATAGAAGTACAGGATTTCTGTGCAAAATATCTATAGCTCTAGCAATTTTAATGAATACCACTAGTGATAAAATTTGCCATCACCTACTTAGGCTTTCCTGAAAGGAGCAATTAATGAGGAAAATGACAATTAGCAATTTTTAAACTTCCAAGAATCCGTCTACAGCAGAACTAACAATCCTTCCCCAAAGCAAGAGTTCTAGTTTTTACTCTGCTTGATGAAGATTTTAAAACCTAAAGAGACATAAGTAGAACAGCCTTCCACTTGAGTTTTTCAGCATTCAAATTTTAAAGCTGTTAATTTTAAATCTGCTACATATGCCCCCAGCTACTGGATAATACGCAGAGCAGGGTTGCTGTGATATTGAAGCTGTGGGACTTTTCTTGAGGAAATTACCTTGCCCCTTCCCTCTTGATTTTAAATATTTGCCAGGCCAAAGTGTCCACTTTCTAGAGGATTTTTGATTGGCTCTGCTGAGTGCTTTTGGCTTTATTTCTGCTGCTCTGTTTAATGTTGCTTATTAGTATTCATGGGGCAGAGGTCGTTAGTGTTGCATCCAGGGGCACAATGGTGCCCCTGAAGCCTTTTCCTAGTGCCCACAAAGCCTCTGAATGCTTCCCTGAACTGCCACCTTGGTCATGACGGGGTAATGGTAGTTTACTCCCCGCCCCCGAAAAGTACATACAGCTGAAGGAGGAAGTTGGAAGAATGGCACTCTTCTTTCCTGTTTCAGCTCCATGTGCTTTTCTAGGTTCAGGTTAATTCTACCTAGATCCCTTGGAAGTAAGATGTGCATGCACTTCCTTTCTTCGGATTGGGGGGCAGAAGTGACCAGGGTGGTGGTACCCATGGCACTTGCTCAAACATCCAGATGTGCCCACAGACCTAAAACATGTGAAAGGGAGGTTACAAATATTTTAGTATATAGTGTGTGTGTGTGTGTGTGTGTGTGTGTACACACACACACGTTTAAGTTGTTTTCAGACTTTATTCTCAGTATTGGTTCTTCTTCACTGAGGCTGTTGTCAAGGAATATGGTATAAATAAATGCTATGCTGCTCATGCTCTAGTGCTTGGAACACCTGTTTTGAAACTTCAGTTAAGACTTGCAGCCTTTCTTCACGCTAAGAATGGGATTTTGTGGCCATGACCTATATTCTTGGTCAGAATCAATGACATCAGCCAAAGCCGAGGGTAGAGAATAGGGAGCTTTAAGGATCAGGACCTTTCCCCTTTGTATAACTGCCTTTTAAAATGTTGTTGAAGTCAAAACATTTATGTTTTAATACAGTGAAATAGACGTGTCTAGGTCTCATTCCTTCCGTATTATTTTTGCTCTCAAGTTATTCCCATACAAATCTGAAAGGCAACATACTCAGCGTATATCCTTGAGTGCACAAAAGAAAGTGTGGGGAGGCGAGAGAAAGAGGCCAGACCTTAATGTACCTGAAACACTAGATTATTCCCCAAAGTCTTTTTAATGGCTCTCATCCTATGTTCACTTTTAAGTTTATTTGAGATTTTCTTCCAAGTAAATGTGTATAATATGGTAGCCCAGGTTTTGTTTTCACTGTGGAAACTTGGTGTTGCTGTGTTTCTTTTTAAGTGGATGACTAGAGTGTGAAGAAAACTAACATGATTAAAACTGGATTTGAGCACTGACAGAGTTCCTGTAGGTATTAAGGATTAGCAGTAACAGCTGTTGCTCTTCTCATTAGTAGAGAGAGTAAAGAACTTTTTTCCTTAAAGGATGTTTGCCTGGCAGGCTGAAGGAGAAAATTGCTGAGTGTCTGAAGGAACATGTGTCCCAAGGTAAGAAACTGGCAATGTTAATGCAACTAAGGTGTTGAATACTAAGAGGAGATTTTATAGGGCTAAAAGCAAAATTGGGATATGGGGGAAATATCCTATTACACAGGAAAAATAACTTGTATATATTTAACTACTTGCAAAAATGGCTGTAGCAGGGATTATATTGGAAGATGGGAGCGTGTGTGACTCAGTTTGTTCAAAACCTGTTCTAATTCAAGGGCTGGGTTTTCAAAAAGGGATTCCTTTATATGGCCTTGTGTTGTCTTCAGTCTGTAAATGGTTTCAGAAATCATTGTGGAGGAAAAGAATTGAGCTAAACATTGGCTCAGAATAAGTAGTTCAATATTTAATAGCATCTGATCAGGCACATTCAAAGGTGGTAGGAAAGTCTATATAAGCTGAACTCTGCATAGACCCATTCTTGTGTATGAGCTTAAGGTGTTTTAAGACACTAATTTAAATGCCAAATGGCTGATATGGTCTGGTAGGATAGAAGAGATGACTATAGAAGCTTATGGGATCAGCTAATGGATACCACTGTAATGGAGAACTGATTTTGCTGATAGGCAGACACAAATGGAAGGGGAAGGGATAGGTGGCAGGAGGAGATTGGATGATGGATCTGCAGTGCAGATGGAAATGATATTTCTACTCTTGCATGTTTGTTTCACCACCCTTCATTCTCTCCAATCTTAACGCACCTTCCAGAAAAGCTGGGCTTTTGTTTTGTTTTGGAAAGTATGAATAATTAAAGGAAATTTTGGAGTCAAGTATGACACGAGGCCTTTAAACTTCACTGACCACATATGGAGTGGTAACACTCTTGGCACTGTACCTCAAGAGAAGTGACCATGAGACCTAGGCCTGACTTGGACAGGACCTTCTGCTGCTTGGACCTTTCCTGTCATAGCTCTATAGTGCTGCTCTACAGTCTTCAAGCACAGCTGCTTTTAATAATTACATGTATATTTATACTTTTGAAGGATTTATTTCCAAGAACATGAATATATTCAGCATGGGCTTTTAAATGTATGAGCACCTCCCTTTTTCCTATTCTTCTTTGGTATATTTCTAAGTCAGTAGGGTTGTGCGTTCCAGCACTGATCAGGAGGAGCACACAGAGGTAAAGTGAAAGGGGGGAATTTGGAGGACTGATAAAATGTTGGGTTTGAAATGCTAGATTTAAATGGCTATATTGGGACAGTTGTGAATGCTCAACTTTTAAAGATGCCTCTAAAAAGTATTTTAGAAAATAAAATGGCATCAACATGGTGGGTATCATTAAGTACTTGTGTCCCTGTTCACTGCGGATGCCATGAGGACCAGCCAATAAGTGATACGAATTTTGTATATGGTCATAGGCCGCTTTGGGAAATATTTGCAAAAGCAGTATACAAATTAAATAGGTATGTGTAACACACACAGAGGAAGTTGCTTTATACCAGCTCAGAGCATTTGTTCGGCTAGGTTGATCCATTAAAATGGAAATACCTGGGATCTTCTGAATGAAAAGCATGTGCTCCTACTACTAAACCCTTCCCGACTTATGCTATCTCATCCCACATTGTACTTGCAGTTTCAATGGCTGTGTTGTCTTCCAGCTACTCAGTATTGGGTTTGAATGCTGGGGGAAATGCCAACTGCCCTTCAAGGATGTGTTAGCTGCAGCAGTGTCCTCTGAACTGTGTGTGGAATCCAAGTAGCTGCTATCCATTCCCCGCGTGCTAAACATTGGGAAAGGAACATCGATGTTTCTGATAGTTACCCCACTGCTAGCTCTCATTTTGCAGCATGGCCACAATGTAAGAGAATACATGCTCCGTCTGATTGCCATGAGCCAGAAGCATACTGGCAAATGATTTCAGATAACCACTTTGCCTGGGTGGTTACTGCCCTGCCACCCCAACAGTTCCAGAATATGTCAAAGCCTGCTTTGTTCTCAAAGTGTTTTATTTCGTGGACTAACCAGGAAAAAGCTCCGGGGAAGATTAAAACCTCCTTTCTCACAGTCCAAAGCTTGTGAAATTGACAGTTTCATCTGAAATTCAAAGGTGTCACTGGTGTAGCTTCATACAAATTGTACTTTAAAAAATTGATTGAAAAGCACTGCAATAACTTCCAACGTCTTTTCCTGACAGGTAGAGGAAGAGATGAAAGTTCAGGCGCTTTTTGTTGTGTGGGCATTGACAATCCTGTGCTTAGTTTCATACACCGCAGCATTCTCCCATGGGGCCAGTCTTTCGGCATGTACTGATATGAGGCCCAAACATATCAGAGCTCACCTTCAGAACCCGCAGAATAACTATATTACCATCCATACCAATATATCCTTTTTTCCAGGTGACAAGGTTCCAGGTAAGGAGTCACAGCTAATTATGATGTTTTGGGGGAAAGCCAGAGGGATGTATTCAGGAGCGGGAACCTCAGCCTTGGGAGCCACATGTAACCTTTTAGGCCTTTCTATACAGCTCTTGGGACTCTTCCCAGCAACACTCCTTCTCCACAGGCAACACTCTTTAATGTTGCTGCTTTGCATGAGCCTCTGGTGGTTTAGCCTGGCTGGAATGTGTCACTGAAACTCTGATAATGCTTTTTGCTTGCCTGGATGGTGCATAGAGAGTGGTATGTGAGTGTAACAACTAGCCCACTGTACAAAGGTAAAATGTGCATTCCTTGTTCTGCCCACTTTTGCTTTATGTCCCACCCATCATTGTGGCAGCTGGAAGTTTGCCCATTGGGCAATGCAGCCCTCAGGCTGAAAAAGATTCAAAGCACCGAATCCCTTCTCAGTTGCTCTTTGCTGCTTAAGATGGCCTGCATTTGCCAAAGTCCCAGTTGCTCTCAAAATGCAAGAGGACAAAACTGATTGAATGAACAGAAGAACGAATAACAAGCAGTAAGCAGATGTAACAGCAAGATTAAATTTGAAACACTAATTAAAATAGTCAGGGCAGTTTTGAAGATACTTATGTGGCTCACACAACGAGCACTTTATGGGTATGTTGGGAAGATATATTGCTTAAAAGGAAACTTGCTTTATATGTGATAACGTGTGTTGGGTGTAACTGTGTAAACAGAAATCAAAATGCAGTTATGCTCATGTATATTACAGAAGGAGTAGCTTGCATGTGACATTGCTTGGAATAAAACACCAGTGTCTTTCATACACAGTTCATGGATCACTGCCAGTTAGTTGGCTCTCATCAAAGGAGATGACAGCCTCCTGCTATGGAAGCTCTAGTGACTCCCTTCTGTTATGGCAAAGAAGGCTTCACTTTCACAGGCCAGAAATACCCCACCCTCATCCTTCATGTGTACAGTTAACATGTGAAGGGGGGGGAATAGGACTGTGTTTGCTGGCCCCACTTTGACACTGTCTTAGTTGCTGTTCCTGCCCCCTGGTGTCCACACATTTGTACAGCTTCTGGCAGTAGGTTCTATGTGGATAAAACTATGCGCATATACTCCAGATCTGGTTGGACTCCAACTCCTATCATTCCTGGCTGAGAGTTGGATTCCATCAGCTTTATGAGATTTGGATCTCATCGTGATGAGACCAGAATGTTGACAGTAATCAGTGGAGGTCAGTATGGCAAGGCTTATTTTAGTGTACCTCTCCCCGCCCCAGCCCCCCGGGACCCTAATGCTAATATTGGCTGTGCTTAATAAATTACCAAGGGCAACATTTATTTAAAAATATCTAAAATTCCAACAACTTGGCATTGCCAAGCACACTTCCTAACCTGGAATGTAGATGCAAATTTCACAATGCAAATATTAAAATGCATTTCCAAGGGCTTATGTTATTGTGTAACTTCCACTTTGTCCCCAGTCACCGTCAGGAGCACGCGTGATTTCATGGGCTTTATGCTTCAAGCTCGCAGGGTATCAAACGATCAAATTGCTGGCACTTTTGTTTACATTCCTCCTGGCTCCAAAGTGCTGACTTGTTTTGAAGATGGCGACACTGTTACCCATTCAGACAAGTCACTGAAGAGAAACCTGTCGTTCGTGTGGAAAGCACCCGATCAGCCCATTGGAGACATCAGGTTCTTGTAAGAAATTTTGGATTGTTAAGATTGAAGGTCTGCTTGATGGTTAACAGATTGGAAATCTTCTAGTGGAGGAATCCATGGGTGCTAGCTAGCTGGCTCTTTGCAAAATTTACTGAGGAATGGTAGCATGATATTGATTCTAAGCTCAGAAACGTAATGGTCACTATAAGAGAACTTGAACCAGGTCTGCTCCATTATTGTTCCACCATTTCAATATCCCTTGAGTTCCACTCTGTTTGTAGTCCAGTAGGAATTCCACTTGTACAAACTACAACCCATTTCCCTACACAATTACTTTCTGTTTTTCTTTTTCCTTCAGGAAGGCTTTTTTAAAAAGAGTTTAATTTTTTTTCTATAAAAACCTACCCAAAACAATTTATTAACTATTATTTTAAAAAAATCTTTCTTGCAGGAGTGTATGCTGAAAGGGGAAATAAGAGAAAATGTTTTATTTCTTCTCTTTGCACAGGTTTACAGTTGTACTCCTGAGGATTTAAGTCAGATATTTAAAGTCAGACAGAGTGGCAAAGCATCATTTTTATGCTTTCTCTTTTTAAACCTTTAAACTGTATAGAAATGGATTTCCAACATTGATCAGCTCTGCTCTCTCTGGTAAAGTGAAACCTCAACATTTTGGAAGGCGTCCAGCACAGGCAGATTTCATAAGCATCCTAAATGCTAGTAACCGCCCAGCCAAACAGGGCAGTATAGGTTAGGATTCCAGCCTTAGGGCACATTTACTAAACACTGGGCACAAGTCCTTTTAAGTAAACATTTTTAGAATTGAGCAGTACATTTTTTCCCTCACACAGCTAGCTCTACCTGCCTAGAGAAACTAAAGCCAACTTTTGAGGGCATTCATAAGGCTGTTGTGGAAAGAGATTACATTTTTCTGTTTCCCAGTGTGACACTTCAGTGCTAAGACAAGCTCCATCTGTTTTTAACCAGTATACGTTTCTATTTGACCAGGCCTTTGTCTTTGTCTGATCAACATTTTATGTTCTTTTAAAAAACTAAACAACTTTGGCTACCCTCCCTCAACAAAAATTCTGGCTACACTTATGACTTGGTCTCTCTCTCTCTTTTTTAAATGACATTCAGTTTTCTTCCCCTTCTTGACTATGGCGCTATTTTTGTCAAATATAAAATTAATTTTTAAAAAGCTGATTAAATTAAAAGTAACTCCCCCCCCATGTGTTTTGATTAGCTCTAATTGTGATTTTATTTAAAACCCCGTTCACTAAGGTTTCAGCTGGTTATTTGTTGTCATTTCAAAACACAAAAGTGTTATGGTCTAATCCTTTAATGTCTTTTACGCTAATTCTGTTTGTAGATTTTAAAAAATTCCCTTTGATTTACCAAATGTTCTGATGATTTATTTATGGTACAGAATGACTAAAGCCTTGCTTCAAACACTTTTTTAAAAACAGTTTATCAGTCGTCCAGTCGTACTTTGTTTATTGGGCAAGGATTGAATCTTCCACTGTGTCTCAACAAACACAAAACAGAACCACAGCTGAAAGTAATGTAGCCCCCAGTGTAATAAAGCCAACACCTCTTCAAAAGTCTACTGATCTAAAAGGAGCATTTGCTGCAGGGAAAGGTATGTTTTTATCCAACATCCCCCTCCCCCCCCCCCCGCCAAAGTGGAACCTTTTTATAGGTCTATGCTATTTCACACTTCTATTATCTTATATGACTTAGAAGTATTAGGACTTATATTAGTGCAAAGCTTCTATGTTGGATTGAATTATAAACTCATTGTGTGATGCCCTGCATCATACTCAGAATAGAATCATTGAAATCACTGGACTTAAGGGACTTGCATCCATTGATTTCAATGAACCTACTCTTATGATTTAGTTGTGTACCACCCATTGACTCAGAAGTAAATACCACTGATTTCTATGGCCCTGATGTTCAAGTAAATATCCTTAAGATGATCTCCATTGGATTCAGTTCACACTACATTGTAAAGGGAATGGGCTTTAACAGAGCTAGATTGTACATACTAATTCTGAGTCTTAAGCAGCTTTGTTGAGATCACTTGCTCTTGGATCTCACTTGCAATGAAATGCATGAGCACCTTATTGCTTGGAGGCCTCACAAGATCTCACGGAGAACTCTCAAAGTAATTCACAATCTCTGTGGATGACATCCATACAAGTTCTCTTTGGGGTTTTTTGGTAGAAGTGGAAAAGAAGAAGGGTGTGTAATTGTTGCTTCTCCCCACTGCTCCTTTGTAAAACTAAATTTGCTCTTTTATCCAAGAGTCTAACTCCTTGTCCAGCTGACACACACAAACTTACTCCATCATTCCTCTTTCCCATCTCCTGTTTCTCTTCTATTTCTTTCTTCTAACTTCCTTATCTTCCTGCTTATCTGATTGAAAACAGAATATACGTACTAGCCAAAAGATGACACTTGTTTTTCCAAAGCTGTAAGGTTTTCTTCTAACTTTTATTATAAGCTTCCTTTTATATTACTGCTTATTGTCATTGGGAATAGAAAGTCTTAATAAACACTGCATACATTGCATGAAAAGATCCTGTTTTCAATACCAAGCTTCTCCATATAGATCTGGGAAAGACTCCTGTCTGAAATCCTGGAGAGCTGCTGCCACTTGGTGTATAAAGTTAGACAGTACTGAGTGGGGTGGACCACTGAACTGGCAGTAAAAGACAGTGTGCTGTGTTCCCAGAATGTAATGTGGGCTAATGAATGTGAAAGTATTTGCCTTACTGATTGTCATGATTTGAATGTCGTGATCATGCCCTTCTTGTGAGGTTCTCCAGAGGCACCTACGGTATCTGGCTACTATTGGAAACAGAAGCATCTAACAGATTAGATGTGTCTAATCCAGTACTCCAGTTATGTCATCTTAACAAATAAGAAATATATACATAAGATAAGCATGTTCAATATTTTAAGAAATGTCTGCTAACAGTATTATATTTTTTAATATTTTGCTTTGTGCTTAACCCCAGAAAGTTCCACTCCTGACACCATCTTAACTCAGTTTGCAAAATTTACACATACTAGTCTCACTCGGCTTGCAGCCACATTGATTTTGGATCCATCTTACAGTGGACGACAAGTCTCTGAGCCTCCTGACAATGGAAATGCTCTGTCTGAATCCCTTGCAGACTTGGTCACTTCACATGCCATCAGTCGCAGTAGAGAAAGACAAGCTATTGGAAGTGGCACAGTTGGTGATCTCACACTGGAGCCATCACTTCAGTTCCAGGATCTCGGCTTCATAGCACAACATCATTCCTCCAGCCACAGCATGTACAACAGGTACTGTGTGAGCATTACATGTCATGCTGCACATAACACTTATTGCACTAATATTTATGAATTTTGGATTTCCCAAAACATGGCAGAGTCTTAAAAGATTCTGAGTGCTGCATCTCTCTCTCTCTCTCTCTCTTACACGTTTGTATTTCATTTTGAGTGTGTAAATAATTGTAAAATAGCAGCAGCAGAGCTTTCAAACACTGCCAGGCGTAGGCATTCTGGAGGACTAAGACCAGCTAAATGCAAAATGGCTGCCATTTGAAAGTTACCTGGAATGATAGCTGTCTGGTAGCAAAATAAGATGCTCATGGAGTGAGACAGTCTCTGGAGAGATGGTCTCTGTGGCTTGTATCTAGTGTCACCATTGTGTGTGCAGAATTGACTTCCACTTGTGCAAAGGGAATTTTCCTTTCCCCTTTTTCTTCTGTCCCCTATGCATCCTCCAAATATCTCTTGGGGGGCCTCTCTGGAGCTGATTCTGGAGGTTGTACAGGGGGCTGCAGTGGAGAGGAGGGGAAATGGAAGTCCCAGTGCTCACAGAGTGTTGGGCACAAGCCCATTCCTTGTCTTTGGTTTTCAGCTCCAGAGCTCACCTGAGCGTATGATTTCAAATGACCTTCATAGTGCCTATCTTATATGAAACAGATCTGATTCTGTGGCACATATGGGCTATGGCTCAGTGGTAGAGTAGCTAGCTTGCAGCATCTCCATGTAAGTCTGCAAAGGACCTCTGCCTAAAACCCTGGAGATGTGCTACCTGTCCATGTAGACAATGCTGAGCTAGACAAGCCAGTGGTCTGGCTCTGTGTAAGCAGCCTCCTATGTGGGATTCATATCTGTGACATACCACACAATTAAAGCATCCCCCCAACCCCAGTCCTGAGTAAGCTTTGGGAGGAATTTCCCTATGACAGTTAGGAACATGTGTGCAGAATACAAGCTGAATGAAATGTAATTAATTTACCCTTTGCTCCCCAACATTTCAGGAGAGAAAATACTTCAAGCTTTCCCATATCACAGCTTTGCTCTACATGTAAAAAAGGCATGGAGGTAAGCACTGGAAGGATGGCATTTGATTTGTCTTCAAGAAAGATCTTTGGTAGTACATTGTTACTGTTCTGCTTCAGCATTGTGTCTTTCTGACAGAAGCCTAATACAATAAAAGTGAGATGTATTTGCTTAAACTGGTACCACACTCTAATCTCAAAGAGGTGTGCAAATAAGTAAGAGCCATTGCAGTGACCCAACACATAGCTAAATCCTACTAATGATAAAATTTAGAGTCTCTCCTCAGACACAAATTCAAATGCTCCTGAGACCATTTTCCTGCTGCTTTGTAAGGCCTGCAGTCAGAGAGTCACTGAATGCAATGAGAACTTGTCTCATTATTTAATCTGCATTGAAATCGTAAGAGTATAACAATGTGGGACTGAAAACAAATCTGTAACTGTATTCCCACCCCCAACCATGTATATGGAGAACAAATTGTCCTTGAAGGCTTGAACTCAAAAGTATAATGGACACACTTCTGCTTTGCTTGCTTTGTGATGGAAAAGTCATAGGCTTGGTCCCATACTCACACAAGGCTGAACAGACCTTGTAGGGAATGTGTTGTTTGTTTGCAGAACATTTGGTTCAACAGAGGGTCGGCCTGCTGGTAATGGGGCAGAAGCCTTTTGCATGTAGAAACTCTGGTTTTTACTTGAGTGAGGAAGAATTCTTTGTGACTTGAAAACTTGCCCCCAGTCTACAAATACAGAGGATCCAACAAAAGCTTGATTTTAGCCTTCCGGAATCCTGTCTGGAATTTCTGGCACACGTAGACTGCATCTGAGGTCATTTCATGTCTCTTGATAAGCACAGATTGCCAAAACTGATGTGCTTAATTAGTTGTGACCTAGTTAGCTTTAAGATTCGTCGGATTTTGAAGCAAATAATTCTCTCCCCACTATTACTGGCTTCAGACACAGGCATGGTGTGTAGACCACAGAGAAAACAGGCCGAGCAAAGAAGTGCATTTGGTGAGTTTCTCTCCCCTTAAAGTGTCTGAATTTAGTGAAAATCTGAAGTACATTCAGAAAGACTAAATGAGCAGAGTGCTGCAGTACTCATGATGGCAGGTCCTGGAAAGAAGGCAAAATAGTCAATGTCTGATTTTCCAGTCAGTGGATTTTGATGTAGATCTCGTATATACTGAGGCATTAGTGCTGTTCTCGCTTACTCCAGTTAGAGGGCAGTAGACTCTCTGAAATCTTAAATAAGTTAAAGTAAACTCTTGGAAGAGAGTCCCACTGGGTTTGTGGTACCTTTTTATGCAGACATTCAAAGCTATTGTGTTCTAAGTGTTCATTTTGATGCCAATTATTCCTGGAGTTGTATAGACAGGAGACAGCTGGCTGTAATCAGCTCTGCTGAAAGAGGATAGACATGTCTTACAATTAACCCTTGGGCCATAGATACAGCATACGGATATGCTCTTTCAACTACTACGATTCTCAGTGGTAGTAGCTTTCCTAGTCCTGCTACTCAGTGTTTTCTTTTGCTCATGATATTAGGCACTGAGCAGAACACAGAAGTGATACAGATTCTGCTCAGAGGAGTTATAGTTCATAGGATTTGGATTTGGATTTGATATCCCGCCTTTCACTCCCTTTAAGGAGTCTCAAAGCTGCTAACATTCTCCTTTCCCTTCCTCCCCCACAACAAACACTCTGTGAGGTGCAGTGTCAAGGAGAGGGTAGTAATTGCCGAATGAATAGTAGGGATAAGACAGAGACTGTCAGAAGGCATAAAAGAACAGGCAAATGCTTACTTCATAGAATAGGATAGGCTGAGAGATGGTGACTGGCCCAAAGGTCACCCAATGAACTTTATTACTTAGTGAGAATTGGAACATGCATTTCCATAGTTTTGCCCTTCTCTACCATATTGGCTCTCGCATTTCCATTTTCCATAACTGGCAGTGGCCAAGAAGTGGAGTCTAACCTAGATGAATAATAATAATAAAAATAAATAATTAATTGTACTGCACCCATCTGACTGGGTTGCCCCAGCCACTGGAGGAGGATTTCCAACAAATATAAAAGCATAATAATACATTAAATCCTTCCCTATACAAGGTCGCCTCCAAATGTCTTCTAAATGTTGTATAGTTCTTTATCTCCTTGACATCTGATAGAAGCATTTGATTGTGCAACAGGCTAACTTTATTCTCCTCTGTCTATAAAACCTATCAGACATTCTTTGAGCGAGCACAGACCAGTGGGGTAAACAAAATAGTTCTGTAACATTCCTTTACCCAAACGCCAAGCCCATCACCAAAGCATATAACGGCATCACAGTAAGAAAACATCTCTGAAGGTCACACAGCATAAACCTGCTCCTACCTCTGCAAGCTAAGAAGCCTTTCTAAAATGAGAATTCTGAATGCTAATCAATAGCTACCTATCTTCTTCCTCATCCCCTCCCATTGGTCTGATTCAATACTGTTCTAGGATCATTTTAAGAGCTCTTAAGAAGTGGTGTGCTATTATGATGAGAACAGTTATCTGTGAGAATTGTGATGATTCTAGTAGGCTAACGGTGATAGTTTTGATCTAACTGAACAACTAAAAGGTGACTGTATATCTCAGCCAAGACAATGGCTGTCACATCCCATGTGCACTTCATCTCTTTGTTTTTAAGGAGGTTTCTGCAACACCTAACCCAGGCCTTAGCAAGTCTGTGCTACCCGTTACAGCTTCACCGCTGGTCCACTTCCGGGATCCTCTACGCCTTCCAGGCATGGGAACAATATCAGAGCATTTAGGTAGTGAAGAGGACATGAGTGTCTATCAAAGTTTATCAGGAGCTTCAAAGAAGATGGCAGAGAAACAAGCAGCGACGTGGGTCGTTCCAGCAAACTTCCTGCCCCAGGCTGAACTTACATCACATGAGCAGGAGGGAAAGGGCAGAAAGGATATCCCTGGGAACACACTCCTGAAGGTAACAAGAGCCATACCCAAAGCTACTGTTCCTGGAGGAGGAGGAGGAGGAGGAAAGCCACGCAAGGAGTCCCAGCTTGTAGTAGCTCAGCTGGGTGTTCTCCTTGGATGCTCTGCTGTCCTCAGCATGGTGCTGGCTGTTGGTCTACGCTGCATCCATTCCCAGTATTGTCACAAGCGAACGGAAGTGTCCTTTAGTGAGCCAGAAAATAATGCCATGGCACTTCAGGAGAATGGGGAGATGATGCATTTCAGAAAAATACGAGAGAACAGCTTTGTTCTGGTACAGGCAGAATACAACTGGATCAGCCCATCAGGCAGTGGGAAAAAAGCTGTTCTCTAGGATGTCTACTAGCTCATGGTGGTTGTTCTTCCTGTTAGATGTCAGATAGCTTCATCTGTAGGCCTGCAGTAGAAAATAATAGCACAGGAAATGGAGCAGTTGCATATAACCATCTAAGCAAACCTGTTTTGTGTACACATGATTTTGTTGCAATGCAGATGTATCTAGCTACTTTGCAGATATTATGCAGATGTTCTTACTTTCAGATATGAAAATATAAAGGTATGTTTTGTTCAAAGTGTAACTCTTAATGCAATTAATATTGCATACCTGCTCATTAAATTGGACTATTGTTGCTATTACGTTTCCTTTGTTGCCTTAAGGTAGTGCTAGAAATAGAAATCATTCCTCTGCCACTGAGTGTCACCTCCTAGTTCGTCTCTGCAGAAAAAGTTTCTGCTCTTGTGGTTCTTCTTTTCAAGTAAACAGAAGCCCTTTGCCCTCTTCTCACTTAGGTTGCGATGCCTTTGGTTTGGTGTGTGAGATTTCTCAAATCAGTCAAATGTTTGCCACTTGAGCTAACTTTCCTGCTTAGAAAAACAAAACAGAGCAACACTGGCAGTTAAGAAAATTGATCCATGGGATGCAAACACTGACTGGCTGCATTGTGAATTGATCTCCAGGAAGGAAACAAAGACACAGTAAATGCCACCTTTTGGCAGAGGAACATGGCTGCTCATCAGGTGTAAATGGAGAGAAAGCTTCTTCTAGCCATTTGCACCTTGATATGCTGGCTTGTTTAATCCTCACGGCTGGCAGTTGCTTTGTTTTCTACTTTGGGTCAGTTCAGCTATTGGAACAATTGGAACAAAGACCTCAGGTCAACTCAGGAAACCCAATGGATGCCCTATTACAACTTTTACAGCCTTTTAGCACTTTGACTGGAAAAACTTTCTTCAGATTCAGGTTGCGCTGGATTAAAGAAGGCCTGGGCAATGGTTTGTCTGAGACCAAGTAGAAATTCAGAGTTAATTGGCAAAGGCTATTTACTACGCCGAGTGCAAATCCTTCTCTAAGCATACCCAGAAGGTATGCTTTGGGGAATCCCAAAGTATGTAGAAATTTTAAAAATATCATTATTAAGTGGGGGGGACCCCAGGGAAGGCATGCTCAATAACCATGCAATGCTGGCTGACTGTGGAAGTAGGTGGGGCAAGAGAAGAGAAGACCAGGGAATCAGGAAATTTAATGGAGTATCCTGGGAATGGGAATGGCTGGCTGGCCCTGAAGAGAAGCACTCTAAACTGCAACATTGTTGCAACTCTCACTTTAAAATCACATATCTTTTTTTTAAAAAATTGCTTAACCTGAAATAGATTTAAATAGTCGTCAAGACCATTAAGTTGTCATAGAATGGGATGCACTGGGCATGCCTCTTCTTACTCCCAGAGCTTGCTATGTATTTATTAGAAACATTTATATCCCACCTTTCATCCTCAATATGAAACACTCTGCTAAAAGATTTTTGAAAAGACTTCAAAACTCAAAATATATGCAAAATAAAGTACAAGGCAGCAGCTAATAACAGGGAAATAGTGAGGGAAAATAAAGGTGATGACCAGGAAGAAACAAACAACTAAAACATCTCTCAATCCCTTTTGGCAACAGGCCATACAAGGTGTGTGGCCACATCTTCCCTGAATTATTTTCAGCTGCACAATTATGTGTTTCAGATGAAGGGATTCAGGTTAAGGATGGAAATGAACGAGTGCACTGAAAAAGGTTGAGAAAGTATGATGAATTACTCATTCATTTTCATTAGAAGCAAATACTGCAAAACCTTTCACTGGAAAATAATGCAGGCTATCACAGAAATCATGGTAAGAAAATATGTGCAGCTGAAGTAAGTAAAAAGCTATTACAGAAACAGAGAAGACTGAAAAATGAATGTTCTTCCTAGAAAGATAATCTGGATCTGTCAACTAAGTCATAGGAAAAGTGATTAATCTAGTCATATATTAAGTGTCTTTTTTGTTAAAGAATTGGGATGTTTTCAATTGAGCATCCTTTCTCTAGCTTCATTGAACAAATAAAAACTTTGTGCAATGCACAATAGTTGGGCTGCTTAATTTTAAAAGCTGCCTCTGTTCAGTACATTGTTAATGCAATCCCTAATTAACTGAGAAAATGGGTCAACAAGCTGGTAAATATTTAAAGAACTATCAGATTTCATTTAAAAAGTTTGCTATGATGGCTTAGCAGTTTATGAATAAATTACAAATTCTTAAGTCCTCCCGCACTATTTCTGTCTCTCTCTGTTTAATAATACTAGATTGTTATAGCTTAGGATGTTTTTTAAACACACACACACACACACACACACACACACACACACACACTCGCACCCTTGCCCAGTCCTATCTTCTGTAGAGAAGGTTAAATGTGCAACTTGAAGTGCACATAGATTAATTGATGGTATCGTAGTTTGTCTCTACTTGTCGTGGACAGCCATATTTTAGTAACCTGGCTGCCTCCCAGGACCATTTGGCGAGGTGAGTTTAGTAAACATGGAGCAAGATGGCAGTGCGAGGTTACACAAGTGATAAAATTTGCTCCCAGCTTTTGCTCGGTCAACATATCTATTTTTAACCCATTAACTGAGCATTTTTTGTTCCCTGTTTTGTGTGAACTAAAAATAGATCAAATATGGGTTAAAGTTCAACCCCCAGATCAGGGCACTGTCTGAAGGTGCCTGATGCAGCAACCTTGTTGAAGCTGAGCTGCTCAGGGTCTGATTCTGATCAGTGCCTGAGAACCCTATGGAGACCTCTTTAAGAGCCCCATGGCAGAAAGGCAGGATTATAAGCGTTTATTTATTTTAATGAACTTAATTCAGTGGGTATGGGTAACCTTGACATCACAACCTCTAGTCCTCAGCTCTATGCCTCTAGGAAGAGAGCAAGATTATATCTCACAGTGTTCCAAGGGTGAAGAAGACCAGTCATGGAGCACTTTGTAAATTAGTATTAGTAGTGAAGTTACTTACATACCTAAAAACAATTCTTGGTACCGTTTCTTTATCACACAGTAGCATGAACAAGCAGTGCAAACCAAGGTGCGATTATCCAAGGAAGGGTAGTATGGCTCTCCACAGTTCACGATGAGCTCTATAGCAGTGTTTCCCAACCTTTTTTGGGCAAAGGCACACTTGTTTGATGAAAAAAATCTCGAGGCACACCACCATTACAGCCCCGTGACGTCAGCGCGCAGCGTCGCGCCGGGAGGGACGCACGAAAGTGTAAGTTTCAATTTTTTCCCCTCCCCTCCTGTGTAAAGGGGAATGCACTCTGCTAAGTAAAGGCACTTGCCACAGCAGCGTCAACGTCACAGCACCCACCGGCACCCAAGAGAGAAGGGGTCTCAGCAGCCCTTTTGCCAGGAAGAGGAGCAAGAACGAGAGGAGGAGGAGGAAGAGGAAGAGAGTCCCCCCAAAAAAACATTCTCCTTTTGATCTTCCTTATTTGCAATTTCTCATTGCAAAACAGCGGTTGATATAGAGCTGATTTTTTTGTTATTACAGTCCCCACCCCCTCACCTAGAAAAACACCCCCTGTCAATTTTATTATTATCATTATTATTATTATTATTCCCCGCCACTCTGGGAGGCTGAAGCCCTTTAAGGCTTCCTTCTGTCCACTCTCTGTGAATTACCTGCCCGGAGCGGGTTTCTGGGGGGGGGGCACTGCTGCCGGTGTCCTCCCCGTCGAGTCTTGCCTTGCCCGGCGCGTGGCGGCCGCCCTTTCCCACACTCTGCCGGCTGCGCTGCCAAGCCCCGCGGCTCGGCCTGTCAGCGTTACCGGGCTCAGCGGGCGGTAATTCCCGAAGAAAGCCGGCGGCGCTTGAAGAGCTGGCAAGCCCCCATTTGCATGTCTGTTTTCCGCAGCCCTTGGAGAGGATTAAGTTCCCTCCTTCCTGCCGGGGAACCTCCAAGCTTTGGGGGTGGGGGGGAGGAGGCAGCAAAGCGAGGCAGGAAGGAGAGCGCGGCTTGGCTGGGTGAGCTTCGGCAGGGGCAGGGAATGAGAGCCGCGAGGCGGGCGCTGCGGGCGGAAGCGCTGCCTGCCGAGCTCGCAGGCAGCCAGGCAGGCAGACGGCGAGAGCCCCGCGCTGGGCGGCCTCTCCTCGCCGCCGCCGCCCCGCCTCTCGCCGCCCGACTCGCCCGCCTCCCTCCCACGGAGGTAGGCTGGTGTGCCGTGGGAGGGAGGCGGGCGAGTCGGGCGGTGAGCACACGCGGGGTGGCGAGCGAGCTCCCTCCCACATCCCATCGCCGCTCGCTTCGGCCGGCCTACTGGGCTGTCGCAGGTGGAAGGCCTGCGCATGCGCGAGGTTTTCGCGCCTTCCTCCAGTAGGCCGGCCGAAGCGAGCGGCGATGGGATGTGGGAGGGAGCTCGCTCGCCGCCCCGCGTGTGCTCGCCGCCGCCGCCCCGCCTCTCGCCGCCCGACTCGCCCGCCTCCCTCCCATGGAACACAAGGCAACGTTCCGCGGCACACTAGTGTGCCGCGGAACACCGGTTGGGAAACACTGCTCTATAGGACAAAGACAATGGACTGCAGGCAGCAACATAGTTAAGAAGTGCAAAACCTTTTGTGCTTCCCTTCCTATACTAGTGTCACCGGGAACTGGACAGGAGCTGCATGGGGCTGCCTGCCACTGGTGGGTGTGAATTTGGCCACCTCACACTCATCCCGCTCACACATGCACACAGCCGAGCTCCTCAAATGATCTGAGCAAATTGGTCGAGGAAAGGGATCATCACCCCCTCTCTGCTCATCACATGGTTGAGATGATGAATGGGAAGAGGCTGATTCACATCATCAGCCCAACTCTGCCCACACCAAAGCTGTGTCTGTGTTGGTGCTACTTTCACCAAAAGTATTAGGGCTGAGGGTCAGAAAAAATTGCACGGGGGCCAGATTAGCCACTCCTGTCTGATATTGTGCCCTTTTCCTTTCTCCCATATAAATATCTGCCGTTGCTGCATATGGGAAGAATGACAATGTGGAGCTTGTGGATAATGTAGTTGCGAAGCAAACTGGGTCTTCTGCCTGGACCCTGTTTTCAGGGACACCACAGAGCACATGGGAATATGTTACCCTAGATTGTGTAGGCACTTCCATCACCCAATCACTGTGGATCATAATGAGGTTACAACTGGTATTTCATTCGGAAAGAACACCAAGCCATGAGCCATCTAAGTCAAGCAAACTGCAAGGAGTAATGAAACACAAAGCCAAAAGTGGGCATCTCTGGAAAAGAGGAGTGATAATTAAAATTAGCAATACTGATCAAATATAGCAATGGCAAATCAGTCACTATCAATACTGTATTAGCTAATTAAAGCACACATTACCTTTTTAGTACCAAATGACACTGTCACACCTATGACCTTCACTGCCATTAGCATGAGTGCCTAATATTAACATACTGAGTGCTGGCCAAAAGCTTGACTACATGAACTGAGCTTATTTTGACAGGGCATGAGCCCAGTGCCAATGTTAGAGCTTGGCAGAGGATGATGTGCGAGTTATTCTTGGCAGCTACTGAGTAGCAAGTAATTTATACTTCTAATGAATGATTCTAGAAGTAATGAAACCTCAACCATGCAAGACCCAAGTTCCAAGAAGCAGCTACTCAGATCCTGGGCACCTTATAATGTAGTCTGGTGATCTCAAAATATCTATTGCTAAGAATAGCTTGAGGTGGCAGGGGACGACAATAACACTTTTATTTTGGACAAATGCAGTCTTTTGTGTGCACTCTGGCGTAGCTCTGTTGCAAATGAGAAGGCAATGCACTGACTATGCTTTGCTATAGTGGTATTTGGTATAGTGGCATTTCTAGGCATGAAAATATAGTTACAGAATTTATTAAATACAATGGCTTCTTTCCCACCCACCAAATTACTGCCTGAAAATAAATAGGATTTTATTACTAGATTTACTAGTATTAAGAAAAACACCACTACCACTGCTCTGATATATTCACTCACTCACTCACTCACTCACTCACACACATGACTTAGTATTGACCCAAACTGGGGAAGAGGTGATATTCCAAATTTTTATAGAATCATAGAATTGTAGAGTTGGAAGGGACCTTGGGGGTCCAACCCCTACAATATTGCCCACAGCTGTCTCTGGGTGGGCTCAAACCACAAACCTGGTTAACAGTTGTTTTTGTGAAACATGATACTCTTTTCAGCAACTGAGGTAAGCAGTCCCACTTTCAGAGTGAAAACAGGAAGAGTTGCCCTAACTCTGATTTTACTTCAGTGTGCTGTCACACAGCCAAATCAATTGGTTTTGTGGTGCCATGGCATCATAATGCTGCCTATATGATCCCTGAGTGGCTGGAAGACATAATCAGAAGTGGAGGAAACTCACCCTCTGTTTTAAAATTTGCACCAAAAGTAAGAATGGTTGTGAATGGGTAAAATAGCATGGCACACCAAAAAAATCCTTGCCCACAAAAAAATTGGCTCAGCCCTAATGCAACAACTCCTTCCCAATGGAGATAAAGATCTACAAAGGAAGCAAATCAAACCTATACAATAGCTGAAATGCTAATAAGCAAGAGAGCAGAGGATAAGAAATCAGAGCAAAATAGGTATGGAGAAATCAAGACTTTATAAGAGAAGGCACTTGTTGGAAGGAGGAATTGGTTTAGGTCTGGGAGAAAAACATGCATATGTAAAGCATAAAAAGGTAAAGGTACCCCTGACCATTGGGTCCAGCCGCGGACGACTCTGGGGTTGTGGCGCTCATCTCGCTCTATAGGCCGAGGGAGCCGGCGTTTGTCCACAGACAGATTCTGGGTCATTTGGCCAGCATGACTAAGCCGCTTCTGGCGAACCAGAGCGAGAAAGAAAAACTACTGAAGAAATACTGGACAGGACAAGAAGACCGATGGGGGTGGGGGAAGAGTACAACTATTGCTTTTGTTTTTGGCAGCCATGAAGTGTTCATCTTTTTTCATTCATCATGATGATATCTACAAGAACATGACTCTAATGCATGTTCAGTCTTAGTAGTGGTGATAATTGCCCGCACAAGCTCTGTCACTAGATGGCTGCAGGAGCCTCAGCTCTTGACTTGAAAGTGGTGCTTTCAGATGCCTCAGAAAGGGAGCCCATTTACATGCATTCTGGCATCAACCTCATAGCCTGGCAGTCGGGGTTGGAATTTCTCCATGGCCCAAGGCAGCTTTCACAGTGCAATGTCCCGCTTTTACTTCCCTTATCCTCTGCTCACTCTGTTTACACAGCTTAACCGCACAATGCTTTGGTAGGTCAACTGAATTTATGGCTAGATCACTTACTGTATGTAGATCAGCTGACTGCCTGAATGAGTCACATGATATTCCTGCAGTGCAGCAGTGTCATGGCAACTGTGATGCGCTGTTGGCAAATCCCAGTTTGGGCTTCCTGCATTTGTGGCAGCTCTTGAAACAAAATAGCTCACTAGTTCATCATGACCAGATTGGAGTTTCTGCTTCTGATTATTGGGATGGCTTCTTCCTCTGCTTATATTGCTGACTTATTTTTTCTAGTTTATAATCCCATTTCCTTGAGTTGCTCGGAAAGTATGTAACATGCAGAGTGCCATTACAGTATGTCCCTATCCTCTCCATCTGCTGTTTTTAATGGAACTTGATGATTATGATGATGATTTTGCTGTAGAGCTTAAAAACTAGTCAGAAAACAGGCTCCCAAGGTAGTGATCAACTAACTACTAATATGGTAGCAAGGAGAAGGACTTCTACTCCTCAGGTTAAGGTCAAAGATCCCAGATGGCCTCTCTGACTCCTGGAATTGCACTATCCATTACAGCTCTGCACTTGCTAATGTCAACACATAATTGATTCTTTACAAACAGTTGCTACTTTACAGGCAAGTCAAAGATCAGAATCACTTTATTAATATGCGTTGATGTACATTAGATACTGGTGCATAAGGTGCTCAGGCATTCAGCTGCCAGTGTGGAGAGAAATGGTGATGTGACATGCTGGGGTTTATTACGGAAACATGAAGCTCAAGAAGGGAAAGGAAATTTCAGTCCGTTATATAAGCTATCAAAAAAAGCGTCCAGTACTTCAGGCATGATCCCATTGTCCTTCTGAACCTCCCA